GAAATAAAGTGCTGAATTTAGTTCAATTAAAAATTTCCGAATTGATTTTTAATACCATATTACTGCATTTCCGACTTCAGCGACAATACTACACTATATTAAAATAAAAGAAGAGTAAGAAATGGACTAAAAAAGGAGACTGCAGTATTTATGCAAGACTAAAATAAGGAGAAGCAAAGAAAAAGTTTGTAAGAGGTGAAGCATCTGCGGGTGGTTGCTCACCGCCCGTAATATGTTGAAATTTCACCTTGATGGTGGCGCAACTTGTATTATGAAGTAGTGGGCTGGTTATGAAAAAGGTCTTTTCAGTATTACGAAAAAGTGCCTTGAACCATGTCCGAAGGCGACAACGGAAATGCTGTTGGGACTTGTACTATTACGCCTAGTAATGGATGCCAGTGTGCGAGCAGTCCTTGTAATACTGGACGGAAAACATCTACAGGGATGAAGCATATTATTCATTGGGACTGAAATAAATTTTCGATGGGACTTTGCGTCCTTCGTTTTTCCAGAGATGACGTAAATACGAAAGATTGGGTAACTACTTCTTTAAGTTATTTGATGAGATATTATAGTAGAAAGTGGTACACTGGAGAAATTGTCGGGAAAAGAGTATAGCAATTGTGGCAAATAGACGAGCTCAGCGTCTCGGTAAAACAATGCGGTCTCGATAGTTTAAAGAAATTAGGTATGTACAAACTGAAAACTTAATAAGCATAATGAAAAAGCATAAGGATAGCATACTTTTTCTAAAACTGGTACGCTCTGTACAATCATCTAGCTCAGGATTCGGAGAAATCTTAAGAAAATAAGTACACCGCAGGTTCTGTGGGGAGGCGGACACAAACTTAAAGCACGTCTTTCAATATTATTGTGCTTTAATTTCAGCGAACGAGGTTTACTCGGAGCATTGTAACGCCAAAATCCATTTCATTCAATTTTACATAAATATATAACATGGAAAACCTGACTATTGGTGCAGTGGTTACGGCACTAGCCTTTTAACCGAAGGGTCTCGGATTCAAACCTCAGTCAGTTCATTATAAAAATTATATTATATACTTAATATACAATACTAATAAATATTATTTATTTATAACAAGTAATTTTAAAATATGCATAATATTCGATATTAAAAACTAAGAAAAATAAACTGTAAATATTAGTAAACTTAAATATTTAATATAAATAAAACTACCTATAGTTAACTCTATGACGCTATGAAACTAAGGCATGAGATGATGGCTAGTGCATGAAGAAGGAAAAAAAAATATAACATGAAACAAGGTTCAAACAATAGATTTGAAAAGATAGAGAATTTTTCGAATTCAGCAAAGAATCAAAGGAATTTAATCATTACGCTAAGTGTATGTTGGCATGTTAAATTAAAAGAAAATTGAGTTTTCGAGTAATATTATTTGATACAATATAATTCGAATTTTCACTATACGAGGTCAAGTACTTATTCGCATTTATGTTGCATATTTAACTAAACATAAAACTTGTTATACATTTACCTGTACTTGCCAAAGTCACCTTCAAACATCCATTAGCGAGTTTAGTTCCAAAAGCCGAATTTATTACATTCGTTAGGGTCTGCGGTGGTGTTAGTTTACTACAATCAACTTTATTGGTATTAGTAAAGTTGTCGTCCCCACATGTTTTATCAGTTGCAGACTCACAAGAAAAACATTCGATAGCTGAACCTTTAGTTTAGAAAAATTCACAAATATGATTAATTTGTATTAATTTTAGTAATGTATTGTATAATAATTAAATTAAGACATCAAAATTTTAATGTAATTTTTTATTTATCTACAAATTTTCATTTCTAGAAAATAATGTACATATACAAATTCATTAATTAAAATATTATACTATAATAATATTAATATTATATAGTTATTATAATTTATGAATTTAGCGGGAAAAACAAAAGGACATAAAAAGTAAATTTCAGAAATTAATAATATGTAAAATTATAGTAGTAATTAAGTTTTAACTACTAAGTTTTATTTAAGTTTTATAATTAAGTTTTAATTACACTGATGATTCAATATTGTACAGTATAAAATTGCCTGTTATAACAAAAAGTTAACCAGAACTAGTAATTTTATATTTTATCCCGATTTTAGCTTGTGAAGAAATTTGTATTCTTGAGTGCTATAGTAAAAAAAGGATGAAGGATTTTTATTGACAAAATTTTGTACAAATTTCAAAACCTCTATTTATAATTCATAAATAATTTATAAAAAGGTTCAAAACTTACATACTTAAATATCAAATCAAATGTTAAAAATCTGTTCATACTAGATGCCTTATGATATACGCTTTAATACATGTTTCATACTTTACTTTACATGTTGAAATTATGGAAATTTCAACATGTAAAATACAACATTTATTTATTTAAACATTTAATAAACACATTTTAATGAGCAGAGAATAAAAAGACATAAATTTCTTAACATAAATATTTATTTCAGAATTAATATTACAAATTTGTAAATATGCTTTTCAAAAATTTTGTGCAACAATGCAATATTGAAGATTAAGTATACTCTATTATATTACTACATTTATAAAAAAGTTTTCAGTGAATATTATGTTAAAAGAAACTTACAAGGAATCATAATAATGTGATTGATTTAATAATAAAATTAATTTTTTTAAAGTACTTTTTATCATAAATTAGTAATAAAATATTATATTAGTAATTAAAATTTTGTTAAAATACTTTTTAAGTTGTTAGCTTAAGTAATATTTTTCTATATATGTATATAGACAGAAATATTTTATATTTTAAGTAAACTTACTTATTTATACATTAATTATGTTATAAAAAAATAGTTGGTTTTTAACTAAATTAAAAACAATTTACAATAAAATTCTAATGAATATAAAAGAAATTGATAAAATAGTAGCCATATGTAAATTTTCTGAGGAGCTATTACATAAACTTTCAAGACATACATCACATTTATCAAATCCTTTACTAAAACTTTCAATTGGATCTGGAACACAACCTCTATTGGTATCATTTGTGTCACCGTAATAGCATGACCTTGTTACTGAAATTTCATCATTAACTACAATAAATAAAAAATTTTATTTATTAAGTAATTATGTACATAAGTATATTCTATATTATTATAATCTCAATATCTTTGAAGTATGTCAGAAAATAATATTATTTAGAAAAAAACTATATTGGTAAAAAATTTTTTCTTTGAACTTGAATTGTTGAGGGATTTTTAAAAAATTTGGGTTTAAATATAATGTGTAGTAATTTTGTTTAAATTTAATAAATAAATAAACACATATTAGAACTGCTAACTTTGAAAAATGTTAAACTTGTTTGTGAAATATCTTTTGAATTTCTACTAATAACTTGCGGGCAACAAAGGAAACATAGATTTGACAACCAAGTGAATTAAAAAATCCCTATTAAAAATTAAAAGATCAAAAGGAAAACATTATTATTTAATATACTTCTAATTTAATTACTAATTTTTTAAAATCGTTAAATTTTGTTTTTGAAAACATGCAGTTATTTTCTGACACTACTTCTGATATGTTTTAACGGTATAGCGGAAAAATCCAAAATAGTAGATATACATATGTGTATATACATAATTGTGAAAAATCATAAAAAGTTCAAATTTGGTTTGATACCGTTTATGTTTTAACTTTTATTGTATTATTTGTAATATTATTGTTATATACATCCGTATATTGGTATAAATATAATAAACATTCTTGACTTTACTTGTTTGTAAATTTTCAAGTATCGATGAAAAAATTTTATAAAGAGGAAAATGAGAAATTTACTTGTAGTTATCGTCTTAAGGCAGCCGGTAGCATTTCTAGTACTTGTTCCGAATATATGTATAAGATGTCTTGGCATTTGGTATATGGAGCAGTCAATTGCATATAAAGATGATTTTTCAAAATCTTCACCACAATTTTTGTCGGCAGTTGAATCACAATGATAGCATATTAACCGTTTATCGCTCTGCTCACTTTCAGTTGCTTCTTCTAAAAAGGTGAAATTAATGGTTTTCACAGATAGAACACGAATCGAAACGATCATGTTATATTATTTATGTATGTAAAAACTAAGTTGAAATTATTTTCGCCAAACTTTTTTCGTTAATAAAATATAATTTTGAAATAAAATATAAAATTAAATTTCACATTTACAAAATATAATATCTCCATAAAATTTTTTAAGTTATTTCGCCAATATATTCACAATAAAAAAATTGATAAGAATGCAGACTCCATTTTTACAAAAAAAAAATAAATAAAAATGCAAGTAGAATATGGTAATAGTTCACACAACAATAAAACTTTTGATGTAAGTAAAAACAGGGAGCGGATTCAGGTTAAGTTCAATAATACTCAAATAACTTTAACAACAGTTAATTGAAGTTTAATAATTTTTTAAACAATAAAAAATTACGTTTTTTAATTATTTAAATTTAATTATCTAAAATTATAAAATAATTTTTTTAGATCGGTATATTTTCTCTTTCAAAATGTTGTCATAGCCAAAAATAATGAATAATACTCTAATGTAAATTAATTAATATAACTGCAAAACTTTTTTAAAGCTTTGACTGGAAAAGTAATATTTTTTCAAAACTTTTTTTTTGTTTTATTTTACTGAAAAATCTATGTCCGTACTTACATACATACATATGTATGTGTAATGTGGGTATGAATATATTTCAAAATTAAAATTCTATAATATGTATTTTAATAAGTAATAATTATGATATTTTGTGATAGGTAACATGTTTAGTTTTAAATCTAATATTAATTTAATACAAAAAGCTTTATGTATTTTAAGTTATTTTTTATAATTTTAGTCCTTTACAATATCAATACCTATTTAATGGTTATAATTATCATGTACATATGTATATGGTTATAAAGTATAACTCAATGCAAAAGTATAACTCAAGTCAAAAGTATAACTCAAACAAAATTGTTTTGTTACATCAAGTAGATAATAATCAAAAATTAGTAGCGAAGGGTTGAAAATTTTTAAGAGTTATAATTTTCTAAATTTTCGTTTTATTTATTTTATACTAAGGCAGCAGAAAACCTGACCATTGGTGCAGAGGTTATGGCACCGGCCCTTTAGCCGAAAGGTTTCGGGTTCAAACCTCGGCCAGGTCATTATAAAAATTATATTCAATATTATATAACTTAATATGCAATACTCATAAATATTATACAAGTAATTTTCAAATATTCGTAATATTCGATAGTACAGACTAAGAAAAATAAACAGTAAATATTAATTATATGAAATATTTAATATAAATAAGAACTACGGCAGGCTAGTCACCTACCTAGCTAACTCTCTATGACTATAGAAACTAGGGCATGATAGATATCATGCACTAGCCCTATACTAATCCTAGGAGTGAAGGAAAAAAAAAGGGAAGCAGAAAGCAAACGAGGAATTTACATAAGTACATACATGCATACATACATGCAAAAATTGGTAAAATTTTTGCATGTATGTATGTATGATTGTTTGTTTTGAGATTTAAAACAAAAACAAAAAGTTGTGTGTATATAATGTGTTTGATCACATAGAAAATTACTTATTGTAATTAATTTATATCTGTTGTGAAAGGTATTTAATCTATGCAAAAAATGAAAAAAACTATTACTGCCGTATTCCTGTTTTGTAAACACAGAAACCGAATGTTGAATTATGTCCTTCAATATTATAAATATGTTAAAAGAAATTAGCATTCAAGTCGTTTACGGCCGAGGCTACCAATTCACAATTTTTTAAACATTTCGAATAAGTAAATAGGCCTCTAGTGCGAATCGCACTGAATATAAATATATTCGAAAATATTGCAACAAAATTAAGACATTAGTGTATAATATATAATCAATCATAAATAATGAATTTAGTGTAGGAAGGAAAATTTAAAATGAAATCAAAGTGCCGTTAACTTATCAAAAGAACAGGGCAAAATAAAAAAATTTATATCCATATACCGACATTGCAATAGTCATTGTACTTGATTTGATCTTGAATTTTTCATTACAAAATATAAAAATCTGGCAACCCAACACGCCTTATCATTTTGCTTCAGCACATGTTTATTCTTCATGAGTAGTTTGTTTAGTATGAAGCTCCGCAAGGATACATTCATATTAAAATCAAGCTACTATATATATCATAAAAAATCGTATGAGTGGGTTTCAATTGATAGGCCTTCATAACAGTATACCGTTGAAAGCTGCTCAATAATAAATTTTGAATCAAAAAACTAAAACTATTCATAACTTTGCCGTTTTGCAGCCATTACTTAAAAAATTGTGACCTTGTATTTACTTACTTGAAATGTTAAAAAATTGTGACCTTGTATTTACTTATTCGAAATGTTTAAAAAATTGTGAATTTGTATTTTCGGCCGTAAACGACTTGAATGTTTATAATCAAAATAATGTGGTAGGATCTTTTACGCATGGGGGTATATTTTTTTTTTGTTTCTGAATAATAAGTTATGCCAAACTTTTTGGATACTTAGGTTCGTGACCAAAAGCAATAATAAAGTAAGATAGGGTCAAACGAATGTTTTGTAATGTAGCACTTTTTCCTTTAACAAGTGAAAATCCTGCTTTTAAAAACAATCTGGGTATACCTACTACACTATTAAAATTTCTTTCATTCATACACGAAACTATTTCCAGGATTGCATACATTCAGGTTGAACGATTCATGCAGGCTTTGAAATAAAGCAAAAATAAATTTAAAGAGTTGTTAAGATAATGCTCGATTTTAAAGGTTAATTGCATGAGTTAAGTAAAATATATTTTCTAATTATAAGAAAAATTAATTATATTTTTTCTATAAAATACATTTATAGAAATTTGAAAAAACTTGCAGTTTCGGAAATATAAGGTGCCAAAAATTCAAATTTTACAAATTTCGAGAGGCGATAACTTGAGAGGGGGTGTTGGTTGGAAAAATTGAACGAAATGAACTATTTATTAATGTCTAAAAGTTGCTAAAATTTCAGACTTGTACAACTTGCAGTTTAGAAGAAAAACGATATCAAAAATTTGAAGCAAGATTTGAAAAATGCTCACGGTTTCGCTGCAATAATTGGTTAAAAAATGCCATTTTAGGTTTTTAGGGGAGTATAGCTTTTAAAAGGGGAGAGGGAGAGATAGGTAAAAATTTTCTTCTACTGAAAAGATCTATGTACATATAAAATTTCAGCTTTCTCTCTTTAAGGGTGTACAAGTTTTGTAAACGTGTTCACAGACGGACATAGCGACGGACGGAAAGAGTGAAACTTATAAGCCTTTCAAAAATTTTTTGGGAAAGTGCTTCAAAAAGTAAAAAAAAATTCACTCTGTTCTCATTTTTAGGAACCCATTTTCAATCACGAACACTTACGATTATATTTCCTTGCTGAATTTATTTATTTTAAAGAAAATTCTAATAACATGTTTATAACAATATTAAGAAAGAATAATAATACTGCATACTTTTACTGCATAGCAGGCTATTTAATTTTTGACCAAAACCAGTAATCGGTATACACTTTATACGATACAATTATACGAATACGATATGCATAACATTATTGTGTATGAGAACTAAAAATATATTTTTTGTTTCATTTTCATTTTTGTCATGTTTTTCTTCGTTTTTTCTTGATTATTTCTTTTTATTGTAAATCTGGCTACAATTTGTGTATTATAATATTTAAGATAATTGTAATCGATAAAAATTCTAATAAACTGTGTGAATATAATCTTAATAAAGAGGAACTGGTATTGCATAAATGTTTCTCACAAACTTCACAATTATCGATATGTCGTATTAAGCTACTTGGGTCTGGTGTACATCCAGGATTAATATTTTTCACATCACCGAAAAAGCACGAACGTCTTACAATGATTTCTCCATTGACTTTTTTCATAGTATGTGTATTTTGGCATTTACATGTATTTTAGTTCGTTTACGTTGTGAAGTAAATAAATATAAGAAAAAAAAACTAGCATTAATAAACTAATAGTATTGAATTTTCAGTTAAATGTAGATATGTTTTTTTGTGTGTAAATGTAGAAATTAATATATTGGTATACTTTCAGTAGTCGTTTTCATGCAACCAGTCACATTTTGATTTAATGTGCCAATAATATGCAACAAATGTGCTGGAAATTTTGTTTTTTCACAATTAAGGGGTTCAATGCCATTAACGTCGAAGTTTTCACCACAATTTGATTGCGTTAATGACTCACAATGCCAACATGAAAATGGACCAGCATTTGAAAAAACTAAAATAAAAATAATTAGTTGGTGAATAAAATGAAATTTTTATGAAATTTGTGCTGCAACTTTCACACTATAAAAATAATGGTTCTGGTCGCTGTAGTCAAAATGTAGTTGGGAGAAATATGCGCTACTTTAACTAACTGTATCACAAATGAAATTGACATTAAGAATTACAAAATATGTATGACTCTACAACATTTTGATAACGGCGATCAAATCCTGTTTAGTACGTTAAAGTACATTTATTAAACATAACTATAAACATAAGTTAAATTTTTATGACCAAAACAATTAAAATACACTCTTTGCGTACATTTGTGTTAATATTTTTAATTATGTAAGAAGCATACGTATTTGAATAGCATTCGAATAATTGTCAAAAATTGAATTGGCTGTCAAATCTTTAACATAAATTTTCTTTTAGAAGGTAAATTGAAAAATCAAACATTAAGAACAAACCGTTGGAAGGAATTTTTTTCCTACTTTCTTCTCTTATAAGTTATTGTCAATCAAAAAGTAAAATTTTGATATTTTGTCATTTTTTAACCACGTACGCAATCCATACGCATGTACATATACATAAATACAAGATTTATCAAATTTTGCAAAAAGAAATATATGCATACAGGGTGATTCAGAAGAGTACAATATTATATAATTGTTTAGGGCATCAAAAATGGGTAAAATTTTTGTTTGGAACTAGTTGTGAAAATTAAACGGTTTCCGAGATACAGGGGTTTTAACGAATTTTCACAAAATTTTTACTTGCCCAGCTTTTTTGTTATTGGACTATTAAACCTGGTCTTATATGTTGTTAATAAAAAACTAATACGTATTTCTACATTTGTAGGACTTTGTTTTTCAAAATTAATCTCTTAACAGCAATATTATATTTTTTTATTATAATCAAGTTTTAATTGTATTAATTATTATCCAAAAGTCAAAAAGTTTTTAAAAACTATGTTTAAGTTTCGAGTTTTTGAATCTTGGCCCGAATCCAGACTTCAAGAAAAAAAATTTTCAAAAAAAAAAGTAAAAATTCCTTTAATTGTGAGTATTAATAAACCTTCTAAAAAAGGTTTCATACTCACAATTAAAAATACAGTACAATATTTAAATACAAACATACATACCTCATAGTAGAACTTAATAATAACACTAACATAGAATTTCCTTAGAATATTTAAAATGAATGTAATTGATTCAACTTACATATACATATTTGCTCTATGTATTTATTCTAAGCTTAATTCTAACATTCTTATTTCACGACAGTTCTCGGTAATGCGTTAATAAAATTGTAAAGAAATATTTTTATATTTTGTCGATGACAAGACCGATCAACTTCTTATTATAACTTTTTTAGCTTCCAACATTGACAATGATGATATTCCATTTTAATTAAATTTCTTAACTTAATTCAATCAATTTCAATAATAATTAGATAATTATTATTTAAACAATTTAAAATTTTTTATTTAAAAAACCTTAAATATTAACAAACTTTTCTAATAAGTTTCACACAAATATTTATGCAATTATATATTAAGAGTAAAATATGGCCTTTCATCAGTTTGAAAATCACGTCGATTACATCAATCGCTTTAATTTGCAAATTACAGTCATATATTACAATTAAATAATTTATTTTGTAAAATTGAAGAGGTAAATGGACAAAGGGCTTAACTTACATTTGCATTGTGACACAATTTTTCACTAACAAATTGTAAAACTATTTTTTTGTTACTTATCTCCTATATGCACTGCCAATCTCGTCTTCTATGAAGTTTCTAACTATAAGAATAAACACAATTGAAAATACATGAAATTTAATGATGTTCTATCCGAAAAGCTCGATTTTCATCAAAATGTTAATTAACCCCTTTGTCCACTTACGTCTTCAATTGTTCTTACAGATTCATGGCTTTTGCAGATTGTTTGCGAATGATGTTGTGAGAAAGTGCCTATAAACAAAATCTAAATGTATATGCAAATCATAAAAAAATGATAAATGAGTAAATAAGTAAAAAAATTTTAGTTGATATAATGCTAAAGTTCATTGCTACAAAACAAAGATGAATACAACTGCAACCACGACAAATGCATGTAATGAAATCATAGATGAAGATCTATTGCACAAATGTTCCGTACATACGTCGCAAACATCATATTTTTGGATACTTTCATATTCATCTGGTAAACATGTTAAATCTAATTTATCTGGATTACCAAAAAAGCATGAGCGACGAATAATAGTTCTTGTACCCTCTAAATGATATTGCACATTGTTATTTAAGTTGCGCGAAAAGAGCAGTAAAAAAGAAAAGAATTAAAATATAAGCGAATAAATGAATCTTATTTTATTTTTATTTACTTGTTGACACGGTTTTAACGCAACCTGTTGCGTTCAATTTGGAATATTTAGCGCCATATACGTTAACCAAATGTTTTGGTGGTGACATTTTACTGCAATCTATAGTTGGTAAACCACTTGTTTCGAAATTTTCACCACAATTGTCATATTCAAGAGTATCGCAATGCCAACAGAAAAATCTGCTTACAAAAAGTTCTCCAGCACTTCTATATTCTATTGCGTTTGTTTATTAAAGGTTTAAAAAAAAAACGAATTGAAAAGTAAATTTTTGTAAAGGCTTTCATAGGTAATTTTACTGACTTTTTTCATTTGTCACACTAAAAAATTTTTTAAAATTTCGGTGAAATAAAATAAATTTCAATATTAGAAATGAAAATAATGCAAATGAGATGTTAAACATTGAAAGGGAACCATACAATCGGTATTGTCAAATTAACCGTCAAATAAATAAATTAATCATTTCATATCGCTGATGGGTGCAAAATTTTGATATTTTATATCAAATTCCGAACAGTGATTCTCAAACGGTAATTCTTTTTTCTTAATATAAAACAGGTATAATATATGTTTGGGTAAATAAATAAAAATATACATGGAAATATAAAAAAAATTAAAATATAAAACTTTGTTTCAAATTATAATTTTGGTTATCAGTTTCTTCGTTTGGTAGTTTTTAATTTGGAGCAAACTTGAAATGATTTACATAAAACAAATGTTCCCATTTAAATGATTAACCTATTTATTATTACATTTTTTGTTTGTTATGATATTAATCGAATGAAACGCCTTTTTTATTTATTCAAATCAAATATCAAGCTATGACAGATGCTTATCAACTGGCTTGCTAATGACAAACCGAATACATGGAGAAGCTCAAACTGAAAAGTATAGAACACATTTTAAGATCAACCTATAGTACGGTAATGATAAAAACGTTTTTTGAATAGTATATAACTATTCGTTCCAAAGCAAAATAAATTTATTTTAACCAACAAGTTGTAATATATACTTATATGTATGTATTGGAATTGACTAAATTAAATTTTTGGTTAATGGCTATGCATGAGAACTATACTTACCTATTTCACTGCAATATTACGTACATAGGTTGGTATAACTTAATTATGTTTATACCACAATTTAATTTTTCATATAGTTCAATCATGTTAGATCAAACATTAATAATTTAAACTATATGTTAGTACTGTGAATCTAACTACGATAATAGTTGTATAAAAATATTTTATTTACAGAGAATAGAAGCAGTTCCCTAAATAGAACAACTATTTAAAAGAAAAACGTATGTACATTGTGCTTGTAAGTTTTCGGCTGTACATCCTTAATTTTTAGAAACGAACGTGCGCATGCATGAGTAAATTTACAAAGCAAACTTTTCGAAATTTTATTTGGAAACTAAAAGTAAAAAACAGAGTAATGTATTATGGATGCTTATCTATATTTTCCATGTTTTTTAGTAATTTTCCAAAAAGATTTTAAATAATGTGTTTATTTGTTTCACTCTGTTCGTATGTCTGCTTATAAAATTTCTAAACAATTTAAAATAAAAAGCTGTGATTTTACATATGAATACATCTTTACTAGACATTTATTTTCTTGGAAGAAAATTTTTACCTATCTCCCCTTTCTAAAAGTTGGACCCTACCAAAACTCTAGAAATGCTGTTTTTAACTATATTTATTGTAACAAAATTACAAACTTTATTTAAATCCAGCAAACGTAGAAAAGTAGTGACTGGCTTTATCTCAATGCTGCTTAGCGTAGATGAACTTAAAACAAAATGGCTGTCTAATAACCGTTTAATAATTTTTAATGAAATTAAATAGGTTTTTTGCATTATTGTTATTGCAAAAATATTTTTTTACTTATATGTAACGTATGTATGTATATTCTAAAATAAAAATCGAGTCAAAAGTTGAAATTTTATATTTTATACTTTCATATTTGCTCTGCATTTGTAAATTTTATCACTCGGCAAGCTTTTTTTACTCTTCTATAATTTGCATACTTACCAATCAATTATTAATTTAAACTTGAAATCCCAACTTTGAAAGTCAAAAAACTAATGTTCGCAGATCATATGTACACTAGTATGTACTCACTTTTTTTTTATCTTATGAGAGAAAACTTATTTAAAGGCTGATTTTTGGATATATTTTTGTACATATTGGCTCTTTTTATAAATTATGACGTAATATACAGAAAATTCTTTTTGTTTAAAATTTGAACTTTTTGATTTTAATTCTTATATATGCATAACCAATTCAAAATTATATTAATTTCTTCTCCTGGTTAATTCTGAATAATTTTAAAAATTTTTGGATTATTTAATAATTTGATAAATTAGAAAAAACATCTATGTATGCCAATATGTATATACTTATGTATTTATGTATGCATGCATGTAATAGAAAATTTTTATAGTTAAAAAAAAGCATAAAATGGAAGATATTCTCTCAATTATAATCAGTGATCGTTTAATAATTAATACTGATCAAATGATCGAGAAAAATCTGCATACATAAACATACTTATATACATACACATACATATTTAAAATTATATATTATTATATGTACAAGTATGTATATGTATTTACCTAATATTTAA